AGAAAAGGTGTCAAGACAACCTATCACAGGGAGAAAAATTATTTGACCAAGGATAGTAACTACCCAGCTCTCTGTCTCTGTTTCATCCACTAACTTTGGAGGAGTTCTGATCAAAAGAGAAGATGGGGCCAACAAAATCAGACCTTTATACTAGATACATGTTTCTCAACCTTAGTAACTTTAAGACATGTGGATTTCAACTCCCAGAACTGGGCGTTGAAATTCAATTCTGGGAGTTGAAGTCCACAGATATTAAAGTTGCTAAGGATGAGAGACACTGTACTAGATGAATCTTTCTATACCTCAACAACTATTGCTGCAGAGAATTCATTGCTATTGCAGGCTTAGCATTTTCTGGGTCAATGTGCTGAAATGTGCCCAAAGCAATTTTAAAAAACATGAATCAATGGGAAAAGAGAAGATACATCATATGGTTAAATAATTGAAAAGTTTGTGCAGCAAATGGATTAAGTTCTCTGTTGCTCTAGAGAGCAGGCCAAGAATCAATGGGTGAAAATGGCAAAGCAGCAAATTGTGGCTGTATTTTAAGGAGATCTGATGATAAGAACATTTTGCAATATGGTGGATTCTCTTCATCAGGCAATGGCTGGATGATTGCCAGGAGTGCTGTGGCTACATCCAACACAGCACAGAAAGGTGGACTCATTGACCATCTAAGTATCTCCAACTCAACATTTCTAATTTTGAGATCATATTCTAATGGAGCTTGGATTTTTGCATCCTTGCCTATTGTTGTAATTATATGCCATTTTTTAAAAAATGTATATTTGTTTTGTTTTCTAGCAGGATTCTATGAGCAAGCCAGTGAGATATAGCATGCATCAACTCCAGGGGAATAAGCAGTATGGCACAGAGAGATTCGGAAGCCTCTTTAAGAAAAGTGATGGGTAAGTAGTGCAACAATTTCATCCTTGGCAATTGCAAATATATTTTAAAAACAATAAAACTTAAAGCAATACAAATATTTAATTGCTGCCTGAACTCCTCTGTTGAATGCAGGGTTGTGACTGGATTTATTTCTCTTGTAAGCTGCCTTAGAAATATTTTATTTTGAAAGCAGAGTATAAATGGCTAAAAGAAACCATCAATTGCTTTCCAGGGAAAATTTTGGCATCTAAACTGTTTTCATCATGTAGTTTTATGCTTGAAAAACACACTTTTTGTTGAATTTCTGCAGGTGGAGTTAGGAGAGGACCATGTAAGTTTTGCATGTCTTCATGCCCACTTGAGTTTTGGAGTGCATCATAAAATTTAGTTACAAAATTGTGAGAATAATTATAATTTGATTTTCCCATAGTCTGGTAAAATGCAGATCAATGTGTTATACAATTTTTTAAAATCCTACCTTTATTATTTTTATAAATAACTCAAGGTGGCAAACATACTCCTTCCTCCTCCTATTTTCCCCACAACAATAACCCTGTGAGGTGAGTTGGGCTGAGACGGAGTGAGTGGCCTAAAGTCACCCAGCCAGCTTTCATGCCCAAGGCAGGACTAGAACTTATAGTCTCTTACTTTGCAGCCTAGTGCCTTAACCACTAAACTAAACTGCCTCTTTCTTTCAAACATCCTTACTCTTTCTTTCAAACATCCTTACACATATATCCTTAAATATAACAATTAAGCTTTGATTATCAAGGTAGATAGTAACATATTAAGCTTTGATTATCAAGGTAGAAAACTATGCACACATATGTGTTCACCTGACACCTATTTACTAATGTTTTAAAATATGCATTTGCTAAAATTTAACTAACAACTTGTTTGGACAAGTTATATTTTTCTAATGGCTTGTTTCTCATGCAAAGTATGCACAGGCACAGATAAGTTTATATAGATTGTGTTGCAATACATTGCAAGTCTGAATTTTGGCTTAGTATGTTCTGTAAATCCAGCCATTGTGTATGGTTGACAGGCAGCTGTGATGTAGATCTAACCAACTGTGACTTATTCAAAAAAATATATTAAGGAAGCCATAGCTTTACATGATGTGTAAAGCCAACCATGTAGCCATTTCCAGATGACTTTTGTGAATTATAAGGGATGGGGAATGGAAGGACGAAACAATAGGAGATTTGCCTTCAATAACCTTCCTTAAGATTGAAATCCTATTCACACTTACACTGGTATCAGCCCCACTGAACTCAGCTTATTTCTGAATAGATACTTATAAACTTTTACTATAAATTAACTTGACTACAGGTGGTCCTTATTTAAAGACTACACATTCAGAGACTGTTCAAACTTACAATGGTGCTCAGTGAGTGGTAGTTACAATCAGTTCTTGTACTTAAGCCGTTGCAGCATCCCGGTAGTCATGTGATTATGATCTGGGTGCTCGGTGCCCAGCTCACAATTATGATATTGCAGCATCTTGCGATCACATGATCACGATCTGCAACCTTTCCTGCCGGCTTCTGACAAACAAATCAATGAGGAAGCCAGCAGGAAGTCGCAAGATGCAGTCACATGAGGTCCTCGCTTAATGACGGCAACGAGGACTGCCAGAACTGCCATCACTAAGCGGCATGGTCATGTGGTTTTTCAACTTAAGACCACATCACTTGACAACAGGGTTTCTGGCCCTAATTAGTATTGTTAAGCAAGGACTACCTGTATAGCAACATTCTCTACATGTTGCTACCCTTGCAAAGAGACCAGAAGTTGCAGCTGGTGAAAACTATGGCAACTAGGTTATACCTGATGCAAGTTACAGGAATCCTATAATGCTGATACTGAAAGATCTGCCCTGTTTCCCAGTTATTTACTGGGTACAGTTAGGGTTATCGGATGTCCAGCAAAAAGGAGGACATGTCCTCCGTCCAGCAGACATAGCCTTAAAATCAAATATTATCCACCTTTTTAGTGTCTTGGTTTTTTATTATTATTTTGGACTGTTTTCCCAGCAGTAGTCATTCAAATTTTTGGGTATTGAGACCTTGTAAATTGTCTGCTTCTTTCTTTCCCTCATTTGTCAACAGATTCAATAGCCTACAATTACATTATTTAATTTATTTCCTGATTCCAGCAATCGGCTTCAATCCAGCCCCTTCAAATCTATGATCACTCTAGTCTGTAGATCATATGGCTCATCATACATTTCTGTGGTGAAATTTGAATGGCACATCGTTGTAGATTCTGTTATCGCTAGCATATGTTCTTGAAAATAAAAGATTTGTTGGAAAAATATTGCGATTGAAAAGCCAGTCTTTCTGATCCTGGAAAAAGTAATTTTACATACATGTAGGTCTAAGTAAATTTTTTTGAGTTTTTCACTGTGATTTTGGTCACGGATGCCAAGAAAGTTAAACAGTTAGTATGTCCTCCTTTCCAATCATCCATGTCCTCCTTTGCCTGTTCAGATATCTGGTGACCCAAAGTACAATTCAGGGCCTAACTAGCTTAAAGCTTAACTATATAAAAGACTGCTCCTCCTGTAATGAACCTAAGTGGCTCATAGATTTGTAAGAAGGGTCTTTTTGTAGCTGCCCCTACTGTCAAAAGCCCATCTTTCTGGCACAGGGGAGAGGGCCAGCATTGCTCCCAGATTATGGAATGCATTCTCTTGGGAGCTGAATTGGGTTCCCACTTTCTCAGCATCCAGAATACATGTAAAGATGCATCTTATTCAAAGGGCTTTTAATTGTGAAATTATTTTAGTAGTTTTTTACTGCTAATTTTTCTCTATTAATATAATAATGTAAATCTGTATATTGCTGTTTTGTTTTTAAAATGAATTGGCTGCCTTTTGTACTCTGCCTGAGTAGAAAGGCAGAGTATAAGAGAAATAAATAAATCCATTTATTGTAGTCCCAGCCCAGTTACAGAAGATTCACCCTTCTCCACAAGCAGAGTTGAAGAAGGCCTCTTTCCAGAGAGCTCTTGCGGGGATGCAGATGGCTTCTTTCGGAGGAAAGGAAATACTGGGAAACATTTTTTCCATGAATATTTTTAAGTTCACTTAAATTATAGTTATATTCCAAACCTGAATGCCTTTTGTTTGATCTTACCATTCTAATGCTACTCTTAATGCCATGGTGGTTAGAATTACTATATGTAACTAGTTAATTCTCCAAAAATTTAAAATGTTATCTTTTAACTTTCAGATAAAAGTATGCTATTTTTATATTTCAGCTTAAGGAAAGTCTGGCAGAAGAGAAAATGCACAGTCAAGAGTGGCTATCTTACTATTTCACACAGTACGGTATGCATTTTATTTCCAGTATCAAGGTTGTTCCTCTTAAAAACAAACCTTAGCAAAATGGAGCTACTGTTTATATATCGGGGTTCCTCTATGCCCTTGTTTTGTTTCTGGAGGGGCTTCAGGGCCCCTGAGCAGGTTCACAACTTGGGTCCTCCTGGACTCATGGCTCCTGCTGGACCAGCAGGTGGAGGCCATGGCCAGCAGGGCCTTTGTCCAGTTTTGGCTGGTATGCCATTTGCAGCTTTACTTGGGATGGGAGGACCTGACTACTGTGTGCTCAGCTTGACCTCCTCCTGGAACCACTCAGCCAAACACCTACTGCTTCTCCATTGGGTGAAGAACCTCTCTCAGGGTCTTCTGCGAGTCCTTCCGCAGAGACCACAGCTTCTCCAGCAACAGCTGATCCCCTCCTTCCCCTCTTGGGTCTTGGATGAAGCTGCCACATGCAGCCAGCTGGGTCCCTCCTTCCTCTTCTTGGGCCTTGGTAGGAGTTCTTATCCCTCTGGGTCTTTACTTCCCTTCTTCCAAGGAAGCCACCCATGGACCTTTCTTCTTCCTTCTCAACCAGGAACTGACAACTGCTCTGCACACTCACCTTCTCTCTCCAACTTTTCTTTCCAGCCACTCTCTTCACTCCATACACAGACTTTTTCTCTCCTCTTCTTCTCTCCTTCCGTCCTTCTCTCCTCTCTCTCTCTCTCTCTCTCTCTCTCTCTCTCTTTCCAAATTTTTAAAGTAGACTGGCAGCATGCCCCTCAGCAACTGAGGATGTGGGTGTCTCCCCAGGGCTCTAGTCCTTAACACCTATATACTGTACCAGGCTGGACCAAGGGACAGCTCTCTCAACATCTCCCCACACCAGCCCTGGCTAGCAGTCAGGTCAGCTCATCAGCCTTTGTGACAGGACAGCTGCCTTCAAGCCCAAAACTGAGCTTTTTTCCCCCCTTTTACTCACTCCAGTGGCTGGCTCACACCAGCAAACAGCAGCATGCCAAGCCACTAAAACCCATATGCCACAAATTCCACAAAATAAATGACCACAACTTAATCTTATGTATAATGGGATGTCTGCATAAATACAAGATTGTGATTTTAATGTAAAGAAGCTCCCACAGTGGAATTCCTACTAAAGCTATCAGCATGAAAATTTACAGAAAAACAGTGAACAGTTTATTGTGGATGTCTCAGACTCTTAGATAGGAACTAAAGAGGAGTATCTTTCATGTGTAAAGCACCACAGTGTTCTTTTGAAATGCAATTGCTTTCCACTCATACATGTATATTTTGCATATGATTATCAGGACAGTGCAGTATCCCATGTATCTGTACATAAGCATGAAGGACACATCTTGGAGCTGTGGGAAAAGTAGACAGGGCTAAAATGTGATTTTGATTTTTTTGGTCAATAAACTTGTAGTTGTAATTGGTTGCTGTTCATTTTTGTCCAACTTATATGTTATAGATGAAAACATTGTTTCTTGATTGCTGCTTATTTGATGTAGGTGAAAGAGAGAGAGAGAGAGAGAGAGAGAGAGAGAAACATTTTACGCAAAACATTTTGAATTTAAAATTCCAAATCTTGAAAAAAATTGTTTGAGTTTCAAACAAGCTATTTTGAACTTACTAGAAGTGTTTCAAGCTTAGTGCCCAACAGTTTCAAGCGGAGAACTTTTCCAGAATGGTCAGAACAGCCTCTTTCAATCTCAAAATGGGACATTGCAAGCTCGAAACATTTCAAATTTAAACATTTTTGCATACCTCATGAAGCACATTGTTCTTGGCAATGCCACATAACCCACAACTGCCAAAAAGAATGGTCATAAATGCAGTTAGAGAAAAAGAATTCTTATTTTTGAGGAAAGACAGGTTAAGGCATGTGCCTGGAGTGAACCATCATTGCATCAAGAGGATAGAATGCCCATGTAGATCAGTCTTCAATTCCTCTAGTCTTGCTCAAATGCTACCCTATTTCTGTCTGTTGCTAGGTTCATTTCTAGTAAGTGAAAGCAAAGATATTGATATAACAATTATGTATTATAAAAATGGGCCCAATAAAAAGCAGCACCAACAGTTATATTCCAACATACTTCATATGAACCTTTTTGTGAAGTAGGAATGACAGCACTATCTTACTGTATATTTGTTTATTTGGAAGACAGGGCAACATCTCGGGATTTAACCCAAATAATGGTGCTTAGGATTCTAGTTAAATGCTATTGAAACTGATGTATATTTTCTTTTCCTATGGTTAACTAGTTAAATCGTCCTCCGGTCAAGCTGAATTTGCTCACTTGCCAAGTTAAACCAAATGCAGATGACAAGAAATGTTTTGATCTTATTTCACGTGAGTTCTGTTCAGTTCATGTCAGACTGGAGTAGTCAGCTAAGTATCATCAAGATATTTGACTTCACTTCCCACCAGTCTCCACAAGCATGGCCAATGGCAAGGGATTATGGGAATTGCTGTCCAAAGTATCTGGAAATCACCAGGTTGCTTGTTGCTGATGGAATTGTGATGGAATGGAATGAGAGGGGTCAAGGACAGAAGCATCTCCTCAGCCCACAGCGTGAGCATGGGAAAGCGAAGAAGATGAGACTGGCACCACCCTAAGGAAT